TGTGTGTGTGTGTGTGTGTGTGTGTGTGTGTGTGTGTGTGTGTGTGTCAGGCTGAGGAGGAGTTGGAAAAAACCCAGAAAGTGTTTGAGGAAATAAATCTTGACTTGCAAGAGGAGTTACCTTCACTCTGGAACAGGTGTGTATTCAGTCTGTGTATCATGAATACACGAACTGCTGTACACCTGAGCTACATTTACCCTCATGGATCGCTGAGGTAAGTTGAGCCAGTGATGCAGTTACTAATGTTTCTGTCTTCTTTGCTGTTTTTAGTCGTGTTGGATTTTATGTCAGCACCTTCCAGAGTTTGGCGGGTTTCGAAGAGAAGTTTCACAAAGAAATGAGTCGGGTAAGACTCCTCCCAGACCTCCAGCGCTGCTGGGTTTAGATGCAGGACTGGATTAAGTTACAGACACAGTATATCAGGTGGTAGTTAATGGAAAATGTTAACAATGGCAGACAGTGGCAGAAGTGCAACAGCAGTGTAAGCATTAAAAGTGGCTGCAGGTAGAGTGTCCCCTGTAAAATTATTTTATTTTACTATGATTAATGGATTTATTCTGTATTTATGTGAATGCAATGGGTCTAAATGGTTGTAGCCTTAACACACAAGGAAGAAAATGCATTTGTGCAATGTCAGATAAGGAAACAACACAATATGAATTGTTTTAAATAAAAAGGTAAGAAGTTCAACCTATCTGTGTATTTTTTGCAGTTGGATCAGGATTTATATGATGTTCTGGAAAAATTGGAGGAAACAGACACAACCAGGTTAGTGAGCCTTGGGCCGTTGAGAGTTTCTCATATTGTAGGAAAAACTTCATATTAGTAACTTATGTCAGCCATCAATCACTCATGAGACAAATGAATTAAATTCTGTTTTGAAATTACAACTATTAATAGTTTAACTTTTTTTTTTTTTTTTTTTTTACAACAAAACGTAGATGACTTGTGTACATAAAATGCTTTTTATGCAAAATCCTGGAGTTCATTTTAGATCCCCAAACTTTAATGAATTACTCCTTTGCTTTATTTACCAAAAAATAAATAAATAAACTGGAGTTACATTAGATATCTGAGACTCTGGCTCAGAGGCCTACGAAGCACAGCGGTCTGTGTCTGAAGTTAAAATGACAATAAAGTATATAAAACTAGAGAAACTGCATTTTTTGCAGAACTAATTAGCTAAAAACGTGCAGAAATGTAGCTGAAATTGAAGAACAAGCCTAAGTTAGCAGCAGAAATCAGAAAGAACAAATACTTGCTGAATTTGGTTTAAATAAGCAGAAACGAGCACAACAAAATAGTTAATCAGCTTAAGAAGCTAAAATTAATAACAAATAGCTGAAAAGTGGCTGAAACGGCAGACAGAAAAATGATCAGAAGAAAGTGGAGACAGCACAATGGTGCCCAATTAGGCTGAAAGAAGCAGAAATGTGCACAAAAAAGTGGAAATTATCTGAAGAAAAGCTAAAATGAGCAAAAAATCAGCTGAAAGGTAGATAAAATAGCATAAAGAAGCTTAAATTACCAGAAGGAAGTTGAGAGCACATTTTTGCTGAATTAGGCAGAAAAAAATGTTGAAACGTGCAAAAAATGTGGAATTAGCTGAAAATGTGTAAATTACCATTAAAACAGCTAAATAGTTGCTGAAATAGCAGAAAATGTTGAAACTTGCAGAAATAAGCTGCAAGTAGCATAACTAGCTGAAATTAGCTGAAAGAAGTTGGAGGAGGCACAAAAATGTAGTTAGAAGAAATATTCTGAAAAGAGCATAAATCTGTTTAAAAACCAGTTGATAGTCGCTGAAAGTAGCTGACAAAATGTTTACATTTGCACAAGAAAGCTGAAAGAAGCTGAACCAGAACAAAATGTAAATTGAGCAGTAAAAGGTTGTAAACAGATCTAAACATTTGACAGATGTAAAATGAGTTCAATTAATTTCACATGAGACCAAAAAAGGCAGAAAAGGCTAAATAACTCAAAAAGCTGAAGTTGCACCAATACCAAAAGGCATTGCACCCTCCTCCTGCACGAGCTGTATGTAAAAAAAAGGCATGTACAATAATATTTTCGGTGAACATATTTATTTCCCATTTATTGTGCTCAGTGTTTAGGAGCTTGCTTCATGTTGAAGTGTTCAGATGTCTCCACTGAACAAAATATGCTTAATCTTTTTAAAAGGAAGCATTAGAAATATGTTTTGTACCAACATTTTGTTTTTAAACACCAACATGAGCGAATGACCTCACTTTTCTTGGTTTATCATGAGTAACAATGAAAATCAGTGACGGTTTAAACAAAAAAACAAGGACTTTAAGCAACAGGAAGAGCAAACATTAACCTGGAGTCACCCCTGAACCTCCCCTTTCAGAAAGACAGATAACGCTGGTGCCTCATCGATGGAAGCAAGCAGGAGGTAACCATGGTGACACAGCACCTTTCTGTCTGTCCAAACTGTCCTCTGTTCAGCTGCTGCACCTCAGTTAGCCTGCAACCAGAAAGATATTAGGAAATCTGGTGCTTGTTGTGAATTCAAATGATTTCACAGACATGCCATCAGATGAGAGTGCCGTGTGCTCAACAAACCTGCATGCGTTTCTTTATTGCTGCACCAGATAATGTTTTTTAATGACAAGCCACAAGGTTCATGTCTTATATGGGACAATAATAAATCAGAGTATAGAGTGTATGCTGGAACTTTCTTTTACCAGCAGCAGAACATCTTCTATGTGAGAATAAACACCTCTCACACTGCTCACCTATGAGGATTCACTGGAGGCACAGACCAGGCCTGCTGCATGATGGGAGATGGAAAAAGCAAATGTCCACTGTTTCTGCATGACAGTTACTGCTTGTAATGCATGCCTTGGAACCTTTCTCTGTTTGCATTTTGAGTGATGCTCCTGTGAACATTTTCTGCAGTGTGTTCTCGTGTTTTTAGCATTTCTGCCATTCTTTCTGTGTTTGTTTCCTTCATGCAGTGGTAAAGAGGCTTCTAACCACACTCTCAGACCAGGAGGACCCCCTCCAATCCCCAAATCTCCATCCAAGGTAGATGCAGACTCTCTCTTTCTCTCTCTGTGATGATATTCAACCTAGAAACAATATTCAAAGTGGCTTGCAGCGAAACCTCCTGAACTTCTCTCCCCTCTGAATTCTAGTTAAGACCAGCAGTGCCTCCGCCACCTAAGGTGACCCCATCGAAGGAGTTAAAAACAGAGATCATCATCAACCTGTTTGACGCTGCAGCAGCTCCCGACATCAGCGTCACCTCTCCTACAGAAGTTAGTAAGCAGCTGCTGTCAAAAACTGTAAAACGTTAACTTTTACTTCTTCAGATCAGAATTTTTAATCGCAGCCTTCTTGAATTATTCTATTCTATTCTATGCTCCTGTTTCCTGCTCCTCACTGTTTAACTCAATTAGCCAATGAGCACTCCTGTTCCTGTCGTTATCAGTTCGACAGTCCTGCCCTCAGCAGCTTGCTGGATATGGACCTGGATGTTTTCAATACAACAACCAAAGTCTCTGCTGTCGCTCAGGTGGATGATTCCTGGCATGAACACAAATTCTGTGGAGACCTTTTCCAAAGATATGTCAGTCTTTGCAAGAGATCCCATGCTCTATTCTGACGGAGTCCAGGTTTATTTCTTGTTGAAGTTCAGAAAGAGTTTGGACATTATTAAAAAAAAGTCCAATAAAGAATCAAACTTCACAAGCTCAGCAGTTGGTTGGCTTGAAATGGACTGAAATAAACTGGCTAAGTCTGGATAAAACGTGGAGTCACTTCAGCCTGACATGGTTTGAGGTGTTGCCTGCACTGCTTCTTTTCTAAACTACCAAACCTGAGGTGGATGGTGGCATGATGATCTGTAGAAACCTGCTTCTAGTGACCACTTCTTCCCGTTTCACACACTACCTATGGCATGAACTCCAGACTGCCGCCCTTCTCTGCTCCTATTTATGCCTTTTTACGACCGGACAAAACTTTAATATTAGCTCATGTATGGAGGACTTTGCCACCAAAAAAAATCAGAATTCATCAGTAAGATATTACAAAGTATTAAACCCTCCATTGTTGAGTCCTTGTGTGAGACTATTCCTGTTTTAATTTTCTTGCCCAAAGATGGTAGTAAATGTTTAGGGAATGAAACTGGGTTGGTCTACCTTGAGGCTTACTTGGTTTACTAAAACAGAGCAGTTTGCAGAAAGAAGACCTTCACAGCTGATTCAAATGTGCAATACGTATTGAACCAAATCCTCCTCGTTGGGATTTAATCACTCAGAGCTTCAGATCTCAAGGCTCACTGTTCTTTATTGTCATTCGCATCACACCTGGTACATGAGGTGGAACAAAATTGTGTACTCAAGGTCCCAGTTACACCCAAAAATAGCAAAAGTATAAACTACAAAAATAAACAGTATACAAGGATCTAAGATATATGCTAAACACTAATAATGTAAATTATGGTATATTAAACAGCAGCCTGAACAGGAGTCTGTTGTGAGCTGATTGGTATGAATGCATACAGCAGTTTAAAGACAAGATATCAGCAGCATGGATAATCAGCAGCACATATAAGTCACATAGAAGCTATATGCAGCAAAAGATCAGTTAAAAGCTATACATAACAAAAGGCTAGCTAGAAGCTAAAAATAACACAAATTAGCTTTATACTAAACATAGAGAAATGCTAGCTTAATAATAAAAGTATTGAAAGCAGCTACAACAACAAAAGGTTAGCTAGATGCTACAAATAGCAAAAACCTAGCTTCAAGCTAATTATGGCAAATTGCTATTTAAAAAGGTATAAGCTACATAAGGTACACGGTATACAGTAGTCCCTCACTACTATGTGGTTCGTTTTTTGTGGACTTGCGCTATTGCTGTTTTTCAAAGTAAGATTGGACATGACACAACTGGCTGCTTGATGGATGAGCCGCACGTTTGGCATGGAATTTTTATTTAAAATAATTTATTTTAAATTATTTAGCATCTGCTGCACCTTTGTGCAGCCCATACTGCAGGATAAGCTTCCTCCTGCAGCTGATCAGCTGTTCTCCGTGCAGAGCGAAGAAGTGGGTGTGGCCAAGACCGCTTGCAGGTGGCTGAGTGCAGCCGGAGGCAGAGAGAGCTGAATTCATGACCTGTGCTCTTTTAGAGCCTACTTCGCGATTTTTCACTTATCGCAGGGCTTCAGGGTACGGATCCCCCACAATAAACAAGGGACTACTGTACATACATCTCGCTAAACTTTATAATTCTAGTTCTGATGGAGATCCAGTGTTTTGGGCTTGTAGTCACAGAGCATGCGGGCCTGCCTCGGACAGAGTCCCTTTTGAGCACAAAAGCAAGTATTTAGTAACCAATCTTCCTTTATTGATTTTTCCTTTCCCACAGCCTGCAAACTGGGACTCATGGGTAAGTGTTTATATATGATATTAAAAAAAAATAAAAATAATAATAATCTAAAAATATTAGAAAACACATAATACAATATTCTTTCACTTTTTTAATATTTGGATGATTATGTCTGCTCAAACGCACTATATAACCCCTGCCCTCCTCACGCTTCTTCCTGTTTTTATTAACAAGCTTTTCCATGAACATTTGCTTTCACTTGTCTGTCCCAAATCCGTTTGTCTGTTGTTGTCTGCAGTGTTTGATGTGGTAACACAACACTGAAGATACTGGGCTGCAACACAAATGGAACTTGAGCCAATTCAGTTTCAAATTGACATTAAATCAATCAACGTCAGCCGTTTTCCTGTTACATGCAAGAGATAGTTTGTGCAAGTTTTACAGCTTATCATTATTAGTCGTTGCTATGTGAACCATAAAGAATTGGTTAGAAGACATCGCAGGTTTTTAAAGAATTAAAGGTGCACAGTTTGAAATCATTTGTAACTGAATTGCTATTCCCACTTTCTGTTTTCCCTCACATTGTTGTGTGTTCACCTGGTATTCAGACAAGTCATTTAACTCTTACAAGTGATGTTTGTGGTCACGTGTGACACACATCGATGGAGTTCCTTACATCCGTTAAGAAGTTGCTCATGTTGGCTGTGGATTGTTCACTGCAAATATGATTAGTAATAAACAAGAACTCATGAGCAACTTCATACGTTTTTGCTCAAAGCCAACCCGTCTATCAGTTTACTAACCTCTGTTTTTGTTTTAATCATTGTAAGGAAGATATGTCTTAATAATCTAAGGTAAAACAGTAAAGTGTTTTTTTTTTAACACCTGAACAAGGCCGTGGGATTGTAAACCATGTTTATACTCAAAAGAATCAACACGTGTTTCTTGATTATTCCTTTTTTGTATTTCCTCCTGTTGAAAAACCACCTTTCCTTGTTTTATTTGACTTTGTTTTCTGATTTTATGTGAACCATCTCTGTAAAGGTTAATACTCTACGACAATGTTCTGGAACCTAACATGGTCGTGGGCTAGTCATAAATTCATGACGACTTTTGTTCAGTGTTCAAATGCAATTGATACTTGAATAATTGAAACAGTTGTTCCCAAAAAAAATCCATGTTCCCAAGTATCAAAGTATTAACCTCCTTATTTGCCTTTTTTTTTTTAATCATAAACTATTGAATCCCTTGCTTGGTTTTTCAATATGCAGCCATGTTTCCAAAAAAGTTGAACAACTGTGACAATTGACTTTTAGTTTTACTGAAATGGCGCAATGACATTATTTAAAATACATTTAGAAATTTGATTGCAGCAACACATTTTAGAAAATTTTGACTTTTTATCACTGTGCCACATGTAGATGAGGGAAGTGACTTTAGTTCTAACAGAAAATATGGCTCCACCCTTTCAGGATTAGAAGTTTCAGACATTTTTTAGTTCAGGGCCTCATTTAATAAATGCATTGATTGTTTCTGAGGAAAATACATTTTTTTGAAGGATTTTTTTTTCCTCCAGATGCTTTTTGTAGTATTTCCTACAGAGTGCAGACTTTAGGTGAGAAAAGATCTCATCAAAATCTGCAGTAGATTTCTGCAAGTCTTGTGCCTAAACATGCAAATACGGCATCATTTAATTTGACTTTTGTCTGCAAGTTAAAGTACCTAGGAGAACTGTAATTTATTTTATTTTATTTAAATTTTTGTAAATGCACTCGTTATTTCTGATATCCTCCAAATCTTCCTGTTCTAACTGTATGCTGTTGACATGCATTTAGCAAGGCCTACTTCTAAGCTTTGTTGGAAACATGTCGCTGACGTCAAATACAAAATGATCATGTAGGTTTCATTCAAAATGGGTTTATATACATTTAAAAAACATTGCATTCCATTTTTTGACGATTATTTGTACAGTATGCCGACATTTATAAAAACAAGGCCGTAAACAACGTATCTAGAGTTTCACTTCAAAAATACAATAATTTCCCACTTTTCTGTATTAAATATTTTACTGTGGTCCTAAGATTATTATTGTTGTCATATAGTGGCCATACAATCCCACTAGGCCTGTAAACATTAATCAGTCTGGTACTGTCCAGACACTATTGAGGATTAAAAAGTGTAATTATTCAGTTTGCCATCATTTCTCCCTTATACCCTGCCTCTCCTCCCTTTGTTCCCAGTTTGATTTATGAATCCCTTGTAATAACTATAGGATGAAATATTTATTTTGACTTCTGACTGCTTGAAACCTGACCCTTGCCCTTCAGCCTGAGGACAGTGATGCCAGGGAAGGAAAAGCCCAGAAGCACTATGATCCTGTTGCAGCTGCTGCAGACGCCTGGGGGGACGATGGTAGACAACCAGTCCGCTATGACCCTATAGCAGCTGCCACAGAGAGCTGGGAGGATGATGGAACCCAAGCAGCCCACTACGACTCCATGGCTGAAGCCCAGGAGGAATGGGGGGATGATGGGAATCAGCCAGCCCATTACGACTCTGATGCTGAAGCCCAGGAGGAGGGCTGGGTCGATGACACAGAACAACCAGTCAAAGAGGAGCCTGTCATGGATGAAACACCAACTGAAGAGGCTCCAGCTGATGCAGCTGAGGAGGACACCACTCAAGCAGCTTCAGAGCTGGATTATGAAGAGGGTCAGGTAACCGAGGACAGAAAAAGGAGAGATGCATCTGGGTGATAGAGTGGATGCATCAACCATTGAGATGGATATATGAGCATGCACATTTGCACAGAAAATATATACATTTTGTATTTTTAACTGAAAAAAATGGAGAAATCTTGAGATGGAGTGGTTTAGGATGCATCTAGACGCAAGATGCATCAACCATGAAAAACTAGGGACAGACAAAAAGAAATTCATAAAGGGTAGAAAGCAAGTGCTTCTTGATTACACAGTTATTCCTAATTATTATGCATTTTATGCTATGCAAAGTATTTATCTTTATGACAATGCAACAGTCATAAATATACGACTATTGCTGTCTACTCTTTGTGTCCGTCTTCTTGCTAACTGTGCAGTTTAGTCTTTTTTGGCATGTGTTTTTGTCTGTATCTTGTCTTTCACGCTTTTCTCCTTTTCCTTCTTTCATCATTCAAGTTCATCATATTTTAATGTCATTCTATTGTTTTTTTTTTCTGGTTTCAGGGAGAGTCGCCACCAGCTGCTACGCCTGCACCAGAGGAAGAAGCAGTGACAGAGGAGGTGAACGAAGGTGGAGCAACCTGCAACAACGAGCCAACTGTGGTGGGTGAATGACTCTGGCAAGGCTGTGCTTTGTAGCCAGTTCTGTGCATGATTTTATTAGAAAAATATTCTAGCCAAAACCAAGGGATGGTAGAAGTCTGGTTCATTAAGTGTAGGATTATTGCTTTCTGCAGAAAGATGGTTAGGTTGTGAAAATTTGCTGTCAGGCATTTTTCTTCATGAGATCAATATGGGTTTATTTTAAATTTATAATAGTTGAATAGTTTGCTGCAGTAGCTTGGTGGTCAGTGCCATGGTCTTGTAATCCTGAGGTTGTTGGTTTGAGCCCAGGTTGCATCAGGAATGGCATCCAGCATAAAACAATGACCAAATATTTAGTGCAAGTTCGCTCGCTGAGGCAACCCCTGCAGAAGGGAGCAGCTGAAAGAAACTTACTTTAACTTATCGTATTTTTTATAAAGCGCACCAGATTATAAGGCGCAATATAAATGAACGGGTCTGTTTTCATATATAAAAAGGCACACCAAACTATAAGGCGCATTAAGCGAAACAAAACAGTCATATAAGTCAAACTTTGTTCAACTCATTCACAATAACCACATAAAAATTGGTTTGAGGTCAGTAAGCACAACCAGAATTGATACATAAGGCTCACTTTTGATTTTTGAGAAAATTAAAGAATTTTAAGTTCGCCTTATAGTCTGAAAAATACAGTACTAATGCTTTGTAGGTGTACTGTTTACCTGACCCCACCTTGTCCGTAATCTGTGCCTTTGTTTCTGTTGCACCTGCAGACACCTGCACCTGCACCTGCAGCAGCAGCAGCACCTGCAGCGGCAGCAGCACCTGCACCTGCAGCGGCACCTGCACCTGCACCTGCAGCGGCAGCAGCACCTGCAGCGGCAGCATCACCTGCACCTGCAGCAGCACCTGCACCTGCAGCAGCACCTGCACCTGCAGTGGCAGCAGCAGAACCATCAGAGGTACCAGAGCCTGCAAATGTGCCCCCAGGCTTCCTGTTCAAGGTAATACAAGAAACCAATAATTATTTACAGCACTAATATACCAATAAAATTAGGGATGCATGATATTGGATTTTTGGCCGATATCAGATATGCAGGTATGCTAAAACGTTTTTGGCCGATAACCAATACCGATACTTTGTATACTTTCCTTTGTCAGAACATAGCCCTCTTATTTAGGCTTATTTGCTAGAAAAATTATGGAATAGCTGTAAGAGCTGGTGACATATATTCAGTAACAGCCATATGATATGCATAGCACTTTAACTTATATTAAATGGTGTTAAATGTTATTTATTAGCATTAGTCACCTGTGATGCTGTTTTGTGTGTGGAGGCTTGTTCCAGGTTCCTAGCTGCAGTGTGGGATCCTCTGCACTCTTGTGCATGATGGACAGCCTTTTTAAGTTCAACGTTTTTGACTATCCACTGTGCCGTAAGACTGATCATGCTAACAGGGTTAACACTTGAAGTCCAAATGTCTGTGGTAAAACTCACCCAAGTGCTATCGACTATTAGCTTCTGAATGACGTCGGAAATGACGGCTTGAAACTCGGGTAAGGCTACGTCGGAAAATATCTCTGACGGGACGATGTAACGAAGCTCAACATAGTCCAAAAATCTTCAGAATCAGACAGCCTCAACAACAACAAAAAAACTTCCACACCGCCGACATTTTGAATTTTCCTCTCCGCCCTGAGATCGGGTAGGTGCGTGATGTCATCACGTTGTGCTACCGCTGCAGGCATCCTTATCACTGGGTTGTCATACAAAAACAGCGTCTTTTATATCTGCGAGTTATTTTGATGGAATGGCCCATGTCCGATATTGAACTTTAACGCTATTATCAGCCGATACCGATAATATTGTGCACCCCTAAATAAAATACATCTGAGTTGGGTTTAATGCATACATTGTGTATGCACAGGTTATTCATGTCACTTTTTCTCTTAAAAAGGTTGAGGTGATGCATGATTATGCCGCCAATGACACAGATGAACTAGAGATGAAGACTGGCGATGTGGTGCTAGTGGTCACCTTTGATAACCCTGACGAACAGGTATGAAACACACACCAACACATTATGGTGTGTTTTGTTGCTATGGGAGCATTGAGAGGACTACCAGTATGTTTATGTGTTCAGGACGATGGATGGCTGATGGGATTCAAGCAGAATGACTGGGAACAAAACAAGGAGAATGCCACAAAAGGAGTATTTCCTGAAAACTTCACCCAGAGGCTGTGAAAGAAGGATGCCCTTCTTTTTTTATTTCTCTATTCCTATTGCCTAAATCACCTTTCCCTCTATTCAACCCAATATTGTCTCTTGACAAGGACTTTGGCCATATAAGCAGAGCTGTCACAGCCCTGGTTGAAATCATGCATTTCTAAGGTCTGCCACACTGTGGATCTTGGCATTTCTTTGTACGTCTGCAAACATTTCTAAATGAAAGATGTAGCCATTCCACGGGTCCCATTTGTTGCTGTTAGTTCTGGTGTTGGTCCAACAGGATATGATGTGCAGTTGCCTATGCAATGGCTACACCTCAGACCACCTTCAGGCAGTGTATTTATGTCACATCTCATCTTTAAGATGTGATTTGCTGAACTGCTAAGGATGGATTAAGAACAGTGTAAAATTCTTCAAACGATGCCAAGTGTAGCAGAGGAAAGTCTTCTCAAATATACAGTTAAAGTAAAAAAATAAAGAAGTATGCCTTCTTTTAGTTAAAATGTTTTTGTTTGCATTACAGGACACAAAATGCTTCTGCATTTTGCCTTAGAAAGAAAAAAAAGAGCATGGAGTAATATGTGGTGTGTTGTTGTTCATCAAGGATTACTTATTTTCTAGACCAAATGATTTTAAGTCCTGCAATGTAAAATAAAGAAACTGAAAGAAAGTGTACTTACGTTTTAATCATATTCTTAAAGCCTAAAACCTTTAGAATAGAAAAGAAAACATCCTTACAACAATTCAAAGCGCTAAAACGATGTATAATACTACCCTTGTCTACAATGTCACCTAAAAATGCAAAAAAAGAGAGACCTTTTTGTCTTAAAAACAGGTCCTCCAGACTGACCAGTACATGTCAGATTAGTGTCAGAGTTAGATTAGTGATCCCACTCCTCATGTCTTCAGGACACATCCAGCCCATCCTCTGTTCTTCCTATTACCAGTTTAATTGTGAGAAACAGGCCCTTGGTCATTGTTTTACTGTAGAATCTGTGGTGGCACAATATAATCCTGTTAAAATCCAAATTTGAAGCATGTGCAGTTAAATAGGTCAAATCTGTGACAGCAAGGATCAATCTGTTTAAACAAATCTGATTTCAAAGTGTATCAGAGTGAAATGAAACTACTAAAATATATATTTTTTAACTATTTGGAGTTGTGTAGAATGGTCGTTTTGTTCTATAAGCCTCCAAATATGCATTATTCAGGCTCGCTATGAAGCTAGGCAGCATCACTGGGAAGCTGCGGTTGGTAGTATAATAGTAAACATGTCAGTACTCAACTATACAATAACTGAGCCAGCCACATTCACTTAAAGAAATGTGCCGAAAACAGTTCAACTCCAATGCAGACGATTATCAATATGCACCAGAGCAACTTCTTTTATTTTTGTATGCTGCCGAGCGATGATTACATATATCTCAATGTAACCATGTCGACGCAATTGCCAACTGAAGATATTAAGGAGTATTTTGTACTCCTGTAAGGTTTACTGCTCTCATCATTGCTACAAAGATAGCCTACTACTAACCCAGTCATTCATTCAGCCACCAACTCTGAAGAGATTCTCGTTCCGTTATTAATGTGTAATAAGTGAGAGAAACTGTGTGTGTGTGCTGGTGAGTTGTTTGAGGAGCGCAAATCTTTATCTATAGGTTAATGTAACTGGACGACATCACCGCCTGCCTGAGGATACGGTCGTCTGTTTCATCGGAGGTTTTTCTGATAGTGCAGAAGCAATTCACGCATCTCGGGGTCTTTTTCCACTGGCTGGTATTATGGTTCTAGGTGTTATAGTGCATTTGTTGTGTATAAGTGTGATTTTTCCAAGCTGTGATAACAGATACATATTCTATAAATACATTCATATCTGTATGTGAGTTAATGTGAGCATGCTGACACCATGTGTTGTTGTGTGAACACCCTTGATTTAAGACGGTGATACTTGGGTCACATTTGAGGCAGTTGCAAAAAATAAATTTTTATTTTTTATTACTTTTTTATGGCTACTTTTGGTAAAAGAGATGATGTGGGCATTGTGTATATTTTATTTTCCTTTCTTTTGAACATGTTTTTCCTGAATTTGTCTTGATTCTGTTGATCAGTTTTCCATCTGCCGTGCCTCAAAATGTTGCTAGGTATCGTGGTCCAAGCAGAGTTATTAAAAGTGAAGCAGGGCTCACGGAGAGAAAGGTGAAGCTGCCAGACTCAGGTGCACAGGTTTTCAATGGTTTTCAGTATTTTAGTCACTAGGGATGTGAATTTATTATGATTTTTGTGTGTAATTAAAAAAAAAAGAGAATAATCACCTGCACAGGTTGGTAAAAATAAAATAAAGAGTCATATTTTTATTTAAGTTTTGTGTATATATTGGAATGTTTTACCTGGGTCTGGTTCTATGTTCGGCTTTATGGATCAGCCTCTCATGGTGCGATATGGGATATGACAAAAAGTTTTCTCCTGTACCTAAATGACCAATAATAATAAAGATGACATAAAACCAATGTAGTGTTTTTTTTTTATTTTGTTCAATAGACAGTGGGAAAAACAACAATTTACTATTCTTTATCATTTAGACAAAGCCAGACAATAATGTTTTTGCCCATCTCATTCTCTCCCTTTCACTGTGTGTGTGTTCATTTGTCTGTAGAGTTAGCAAAATATCTCACAAACCAGTGAAGAGCATTTATTATTATTATATATTATATTACATTACATATATTACTTATTATATTTATTATTATTGCATATGCAGCTTTGATCTGTAGATGATAGCGTACATTTGTATATGCAGGTATATTTATGTACGTGTAGGTATACATAGCCATGCATACATGTCTGCATGTATACGGTATGCTGCAAGTATCCATGCATGTATGAGTATTTATGTATTTATTGAATTCAGAAGTTGCATGTACAGGACTGGATAAGCTTTTGCTTCTTCCTATTCCCTTTGCAAACATTTTCGTTTTGTTTACAGAATATTTTTGGTGGGTGGAAATATTTACCTTTGTATGTATGTTTTTTTGTGTTTTGGTGATATTTTAACTGTTCAAAATGAAATAATGAAAAATAAAAAAAAAAGGTGAATAAAATAATCATTAGATGTGCATCTACAGAACACTACCGTGATCAAGACGGCTGTCACTGGTAATCAACTCTACCAAAACAATGAAAGTGTTACGTGGGTTATGGGTCCACCAGTTTAGCAGATATTTTAAACTGGGTGTGGTAGTAGCTCAGAGTAAACCTCTACATATACTTCAAGGGCTAACGATTAGTCAAGATCATGAATGCGTAATGTCACTTACAAGGTTTGACCAAAATGGCTATATTTACGTCCCGTTTCATCATAAGATGATAAGATGATAAGAATGTTAGGCCTTGAACTTGAAATGTTTGTATTGTGGTCTTTGCAAATGTAAGGGTATCCAGCAGGGTGTGCTGTGCCTCAAGGCTTATTCTCCATCCATTTTGGAAAAAAATAGAAGAAAGTAACTATCTCACAGTCATCAAAAGTGAGAAAGAGGAACTTCACATGGCGCTGCTGTCCACGGTGCTGAATGCAACGAGCAGACCACCCTGAAACCACAAGCTTCCTTCTGGCGTTGACGATGCACCTACAGAGCAACCACCCAACAATATAACAGCAGAAATGTTTTGTCAGCTGCACAATACAAATGCAGGGAGAATGAACTGGATTTCTAAAACTGACTTTATTACATAAATACTTCAATGATTGACAATATACAACTCAAACTTTTTGCAAAATTATTTCTGTTACAAAACAAACCACGTTCTGTTAAACCAAAATTTTGTGCATCAAATATATTGACTAGAGATGCAGAAAATGAAATAATAATAATAACAATAACAATAATAATAATAAATTTACAGCATTTTCTAAAAATAGATATTTAAATATATTTTCTTGAAGGAGCTTTATATACATATTATATACATATTTTGAGCAGTTGTGTAGGAGAACGTCCTGGAGTTTCTAGACGAATTGCATTATGGGAGTTTCATTAAACTATGTGAACAAAAGTCAACACCAGAAACATTTAGGCACTTTATAAGTCATAGATTAGGTAATTATATTTTCCTTTACAGCATTTCCCCACAATAGTTAAACTGCTTCCTTATTCTTATTGTTTAGGAGGAGATTTGCTTCTCCCCTTTGGGACTTGAATTTCTAAAACAAAGATAATGTTAAGAGGAGTTATCATAAGAACTTCTCTTAAAAACCCTAATTACTGCTTGTTAATTACATCTATTAAAGAATCGTCACACAGTAGTTGAATTCAGTCTTATTACTGACCTGAAAAAGTACACTCAAATGATGAAAACAAAACAAAATTTCTTAAATAAAATATATAATACAAAATTAAAAGTTTAAAAATCTGCCAAAAACAATCAAGTTATCTGAAAGCAGATATAATATTTTAAAAAGAGTCAATGTGGTCTTTAAGCACTTTGAGTCCAAAATGTGTACAAATATTTTGTCTTCATCTCCCTGCCATTCAACACCAGTTTCTTACAATAATTATTCTAGAAGAAAAGCTTTAATTTCTTTCCAATATAACGTAAATATATAAATACCTATACAATTGATTTCTATCTTGTTTTATTGACTTAATACTCCTTACTTTGGCTTTTTCCCCCCTCTCTGTGCTCCATTCCTTTCTTTAACATCACAAAATGTTTAAAATCCTGCTTTAATTCAATCCGAAAGCATAATGGTTGATGGAGCACAGTAAAAATACAACACAGGAATGTAAATAACTCCACTTAATACCGTCACAAGGAGTTTTGGATTCTATACACTTTTAAATCAGTTGTCCTTTGATCAAGGCCTTAGGAAGCAGGGGTGTGGATGGTGCTGCAGCAACCGTTAATGGATGCAGGAGGACATGCTAATGAATAGTTAATGACATATTTAAAAAAACAAAAATTACACATTTTATTACTGCTGCAAATGTATGTCCAATGCTTAAACCTGCATTTGCACTATGTATCTGTGTGCAAAATGATACAGCTTCCTAAAATCCACAAAATGGTGGAGCAGCATCAGGTCATGATTTCAGTTATATAGGTACATTTGGTGAATTAGAAAACACTCTGCATATTTGTCTGGTATTATACTTTTTATAGGCAGCATTGTGGCACAGTTGATAGAGTTGTCACCTCTAAGCGAGAAGGTTTGCATCAAATCGAATCAAATCTCAGCCAGCGGCCTTTCTGGGTGGAGTTTCCATGTTCTCTCCGTGCATACGTGGGTTTTCTCCGAGTACTCCGGTTTCCTCCCACAGACCAAAAACATGCATGTTAGGCTGATTGGCAACTCTAAATTGTCCCTAGGTGTGAGTGAGAGAGTGAATGGTTGTTTGTCTTTATGTGGCCCTGTGATGAACTGGAGATGTGTCCAAGTGTCCCCGCATCTCACACAGAGACTGTTGGACATTAGCACTAATGACACAGAAAGGAAGATGTGAGTAAAAACAATGGACGGATGGACTTTTCATTTGAACTTTTTGGAGTCATACAAATATGAACATGCTCGCATCACCCCTCAGTGGAATCACATTCCCACAGTTTTGTCTTTGATAGTCCCTCATTTTCTGCTTTTTGAATACAGTAGAGGAAGTTGTGCTCTTCTTTAATTGTGCTACTGAAGACAGGTAAATGAAACATGTCTCTGTGGCTTCTGTTTACCGGTATGTCATTGTTCAATACCCCAGGGGTGGAAGTGTTCGGAGTCCAGCAGTATTTTCCCCAGTGTTTGTAGAATCCAGGGGTACCAGTGCAGTCCGTTGGTTTGTGCCTGTAAAGGTCCCATCAGCTTGTAGAAGAGTCTTTGTGGGGCCAAGGCCCAGTGAGACAAATGGTGACTGTCCACGGCTGCGTAGCAAGATGCCAGCACACCATTCACCACTATAGACCCATGCTGTGTAAGAGGAGCATATAACCCAGTGTTAATCTGCTCTTCCACAAAGGTCACCATAGAAAGTCTTGAATTCCCTCTGCCTGTAGATGTAAACACACACTGTCCTGGATGGACTTCACTGGCAAATACTGTCCTCAGATGTCCTCCACGGCCGCTCCTCGGCCATCTGAAACCAAAGGGTTGCTTTTCTTGAGCCGTTTCTTTCAGATTTGACTCGTTCACTCCACGGTCACAGTCTGTGGCAAAGATCAGGTGAGCAGCTGTGAGGGTAATGTCAACACCTGCTTCTGTCCCAATGGTGTAGAAGGTCTTTGTGGTGTTAGCCTGGCGGTCCAGAAAGGACACAACTGGGCTGTAGAGAAGCGAAAGATGACCGTCTGCTGTTGAGGAAGCCAAGACGCGGTCCCCAGGGAGAAGGTCACGCATGTGTTTGGTACCACCACCTTCGATCATAACCAGAGCCTCGCCAGGGAAACAACCACCAGTTTTGGCTGCCACTGAGTGTTCTGGAGTAAGAAAAGCAGAATTAAACAAGATCTTTTTTATTCAATTTGACAAATGATTACTTTTTATTGTTTTGCTTTTTTGTTGTTGTTGTTGAAACAAGGATAAGTAAAAAATGCAGCTGATATGAAGGAAAAGTATGTGACCTGCTATGCTACCTGCACGTTATTCTAGGTCACTGAGTAATCCATGAAGCAGGTGAGACTTTGACACTGACTCAAGAGCAGCTTTATCTGAGAGGATCAGTGGTGGATTGTTAACATGAAATAATGTGCCTCAGGTTCAAACTTCCCTGCCTGCGTACGGCCATGATCAGAAGTCAAGTACGCAGAAAACATCCTTCAGAAAAAAAAAACATGGCAGTTACCAACGTTTTATCTTTGGTTGTTGCAAACCCATCAGTAGAAGATTTAGTTTTTTTTACTATTTATCCTAACTTGTAAATAAAATCCAGACCTGTCAAATGCCATGGCACAATTTCATGACCATTTCATCTGACTTGAATTCATGACAGCGATGAAGATGATCATGTAATTGTGTGTCTTTGTGGTTCATTTGTTTGTTTGTTAGCAAAGTATTTAATGAGCCTCTGGACAAATTTTGATACAACTCTCAGAAGTAATCATTTGATAAATAACTACAACTTATTAACTTTTTAGTTTCAAGATGACATCACAGCTGTCAACTTTAGCAACACAAACTATGGCTATTAAGTCAGTTTTACATGTTTTGAGCTAAAGCTGGACATTGTTGTAAAAGGGTCATCCCCAACATGTACTCCAAGCATTAACAGTTCACACAAGATATTTGTTTAAAACTGTAGGATGCAAAGTAGAAGGCGATTTGTTATCCTTTAAGAAATGCTAATTTAATATGTAATATTGTCCTAATTAACAGTATTTGTACTGATGTGTGAATTAAAATAAGCAAAAGATATGTTAAATGTTTTCCAAATTTCACTCTAAAAGATGGTTTACCTTGCTCCTCTACTTTTAAATGTCAAATGTACATGACTTAGAGTTAGTACTATATTTTTCAGAATATAAGGTGCACCAGATTATAAGGGGCATTAAGCAAAACAAGTTCATTTTGACACATTTTTGAGCGCCATTTACTACATAAAATCAGTTTGTTTTTTTTCAAAAAACACAACCAGAATTAATACATAAGGTTCACTGTTGACTTTTGAGAAAATTAAGTATTTAAGTGCGCCTTGTAGTTCGAAAAATATGGTAAATATGAAGTATAAGTAAATAAACATGCTTATTAATTATTTGTTGAGCTACTGAGGTTCATTTCTTTGGTCAAATCTGCCACAGACCGCTCTTGATCTTGTGTCTTGAGCTGTTTGGGCCTTTAAGACGCAGAGGGATGAGGTGGCAGGACTGGGTAGTCAGTAAGAGCTAATGGATAACCAGCTGATTATATCTGCACAGTCGAAGCACGACCGGGGGGTCAGAGAGACTGAAAAGTACACAGACTCAGACCTGGTTCAAGATACCTTTCAGTTTAAAGCAGAGTTAAAGATTTAAACTGAATCACATTTGTTCCAGAGGGGAACTGAGACACTGAGCTTAAATACCTTGAATCTTATAGAAATAAGAAATTTAGTTGTAGAAATGTGTGTTTTTGTGGGAGGCTTGTCTTGAGGTGGTGTTAAGGCAGCCAAATATTTGTCCAAGGTGTGTGTGTCTTTAAGCCCGAAGGCTGCAGAAAAGGAGGGCTGCGATAAGATTCAGATAAGAGATCTGAGAAAAAAAAAACTACTGAAGGAAATGTAACAGCAAAAACAAAGGGGGAGTTAATCATCTCACAGCCTGCTAACCTTAGCTCAGCACGTGGAGTTTGGCTTCAAATAACTGGTGGTACCAGACATTGGCAAAAGGATTTCCAAAAGTTTGGCAAAGTCAGATTAGCTGGTGGTGGAATGCTGTCACTTATTGTTTCACTTTATATAGACTGGAAAGGCAGATTTTACTTGAAGCATAAAGTAGATCTAGACTTATTTTCTGATTATTGCCTTCACCACCAAAGGCAAACAGGTGGTAACGTTGCCCATCATGTGTGTCTGTTACTAAAATATCTCCTTTAGACATTTTTAAAGCAACATGCAGAAAGTAATTAGTAGATATACATGTAAAACAAATTAAATTTTAAAGCCAACCTGGTTCAGGATGGCTACCACAGTAAACCGACCTTTAACAGCATAAAAATGGATAGAACTGTGTCAATTTTACACATAATGACCCACAGTTTGTTGTAGTAATAGAGATTGATCCCCAAATACATGTTTGAATAGCTCATTAATTGCGCAAGATATTTGTTGAAAAAATGTCAATACCCATTTGAAATCAATGCTGTCTGTATGTTAACAAAATATCTCATTGGATATATTTATATGAGACTTTCAGGATGATCATTTAAACTGCTTAACTTTTGGAGCCAAACCAATTCAAGATGGCTGCCTAAGCTAACTGAATTAAAAAACAACAACACAGAAATGGCTTTCTACTAGTTTTTATAGATATTGAGCTAACATTTGGTGTGGTAGTAGCAGAGCATCACCCCCAGCACACACTCAAGTGCAACACCTTTGCATTAAACCTTGGCCTCAACTCCTTAAGCCAAAATAGCACAAAAACCACTGGAAGGATTTCAATTAAACTTTCAGAAAGTAACCTAACATTTAAAGTCCGCTCAATTCAAGATGGCACGCAAGACTGTTCTTGGGCAACTAAAAATGTCTACACTAAAACTGAATTTTACTAATACCAGGCTAAAATTTCCATTTGTAGTTGTTAAGTAATTCATAACACTTACACTAACCAAGTGGGAACAAATCATGAAATAATATGTGAGGTTTTGCAATATTGCATGAGACTGTATATAATGTAATTTTTTAAGTCTTGCCCAAAGTGACTACAAAAACGTTAAATCATCTTAGTCTAAAACTCTGGCGTGAAAGATGGCGAGTGGTGTGCATTCTTCGAAGTAAGGGTATGCTTTTATTGGTACCACTTTACAATAAGGCTCATGACTAGTAGTTTATAGATACATTATTAATTCCTCTATCAACACTTTATAAATCATTAATAAATGCTTATTATGCATTAATTAAGGGTGAGAGACAAAACTGACCAGTTTCTTGCCAAATAGTGAGCCAAATCTGTTCACCTATATATTTCCTCTAGAGTGGTTAGATTAAACATTTCAGACTAAGTTACTACATTGTGAGCACAATAAACATTTGTCAACTTGTTTCTTTAGCATATATTATACTTTATCACTGTTTCATAAGTATCTAAAACTATACTTATAATGCGGTGATAAAGTACAATATTATATTCTAAAGAAATAGGTTTACAAATGTTTATTGTGCTCACAATGTAGTAACTTAGTCTGATATGTTTATTATAACAACTCTAGATTAAATATATAGGTGAACAGATTTGGCTGACTATTTGGCAAGAAACTGGTCAGTTTTGTCTCTCACCCTTAATGCATAATAAGCATTTATTAATGATTTATAAAGTGCTTATAAAGGAATTAATAACATATCTATAACCTATTTATTAGCCATCTATAAGGGGACCTTATTGTAAAGTGGTACCCTTTTATTTTACTTTGTTTGTCCATATAAAGCCTATTTTGTTGGTGTTCTGATCAAAACGTGCTGTTATTTATGCTTTATTCTCATTGACTGAAGGCTTTCCAATGGCATATGACTAAAAAGTGAGACAAAATATGGCAAAGTGCACGGGTGCACTCCCTGCTTTGATTGGATCCCAAAGGGCCACACACACACACACATGTTCACAAACTGATGGTGAAGACAAGCTGTTAGTGAGCCACCCCACAAAGAGTCAACCTTATTAGCAGCTACGACTGACAGAAACAAAAACACACTGAGATATGTGGCTGCTCAGATCCATTTCTTACCTGACTTGACGCTACAATGAATGTGAGCTTTGGACTCATAGTAGACCCAGTCAAATCCAGCTTCTACAGCCAAGCGGGCCAACATGGCATACTTGTTTCTGTCCCTGTGATGAAGGGAAATAATTCATTTGTAAATACCAAAATGCTCTGAAATGTCAAACGATTGGGAATACATTGTGATTGTTGCATCAGAAGTGTGCCAAGACAATGATGGCCTGTGTTGTTACATTGCTGATAAGCTGTTTGATGAGAGAAGCCGTTGCCTGTAGCTTCAGTGTGGCTACCTGTCTGACGTGGTGATGTCAACGGCACGGCCCTCGTAGTGCAGCGAGTCCTCTGAGTGATGACCGTCCTCATCCCAGCCTTCTGTCACCCTGAGCTTCACACCTGGCCACATGTTCATCACAGAGATGGCCAAAGAGTTCAACTTGTCTTTGCATCGCTGAGAGAAGGAAAGAAAAAGAAAAATTGCAAACTGTCAAAGACAAATAAATTGAGAATTATCTAACCCTAATAGTGCTCGAGAAGTGTAAAGAAGATTCTGTGATAATGCATATCGATTGTGAGCTTTTATGAGAGTTTTATTTCACCAAGCCCACCACAGCCACATAATTTTGAAGGAAATACTGTATATCAGTATTTAGCTGTGGAAGCCATCTTGATATGGGTTTAATCCAAATGGCAATCAGTTCCAGAAGTTCATCCAGTGATTACATTCTGACTGCTTCATCAAAATCTATGTAGTGGTTCCTGAGATAATTTCCTATCAGTTAAAGCCATAGTTGTAAGCAAAGAAGTCATGCAATGGATAATATGTGTTGGGGACAACACGCAGAAATTAAAACACATTTCAAGCACCTATTTCTGTAATAATAATTAGATTATAGTTATTTTGTGGTTCATATAGGTCATATGTGTCAAACTCAAGGTCCGAGGGCCAAATGTGGCCTTTGTTGACATCTTATCTGGCCCCCACAATGCTATTTTAAATGGAAAATACTTTTTTCACTTGATTTTTTTTTTCAGTGATCTTTGATTATGATGTCAAAAGTGCAACAGAGAACGTCAAATGAGACCAATCAAACTCTTGTTGAGGAACCTGCAACCAAAAAAAAAAAATGTTTGGTATCCAACTTGAGATGATGTAGATTCTGAAACCAGCTCATAGTTTGAAAAAGGTTTTAATTTTGACCCCCTTTTATAAGTGGGTTTGACACTCATGCTATAGGTCAATTAGATCTGGCAGCCGTCATGCATGTGGAAAGATTTGACAGATGTGTGGGTAAAGGGTGAAAAGTGATTATAAAAGCCAAAACCTACACTGAAATCAACATAAAGCATAACTTTCCACTCACACATCACGTTGCACTTTCACATAGCTGCACTCTGAATTATAACCATAAGTCACAAGGTGAATAGTCAAAGTACACGTGACAGATTTTTTTCTGTTTGCAGCTTGGAGAGGAAAAGAAAAAACTCAAGATCATTTGTGAATTTGAAGCTATTTAAAGTCCAGTAATATTTCTCAGTAAATGACTAAAAAACTACAATAAATGGATTGTATGTTTGACGCAGATATGGAAGGATGCTGGGGAAGATTACGCATGGCTGCGTGCGCAAAGAACGCGCAAAGTGTCCCAGTGACAAAACGAGTGGAAGCAGTGATGGTTTCAGGTGAGCTGGATAAACTGTTCTTGTTGGATTTAATGTATTCATTATGAGTAATCTAAAAGGAGGGGGAATTTCCGGCCCACACATGACCGATCAAATGGAAAATGAGGCAACGACTTGAATCGGGAGCTGAAGGCAGCAGAAAAAATGTCAGGTAGCTGAAGCGAAGCGTTCATGAAACCAATCCCTTTGGTTTCAACATCACAGCAAACATTCAGAAGTGACTCACCTGCGTCATCAGCCTGTCTGCCCCCGTGTCCTCCTCATCCTTGAAGATGATGTCTGTGTTATAATTCGGCGTCAGCTCTTTGAAGCGCTCGGAGTTGCGCGTAATTTTCCCTTCGGGCCGCCCGCTGGCCCCGAGGGTCTTCTCGGCCACGTTGGGGCTGAACTGCTTGTAGGCGAGCGGGATGAGCTTCTTCGGGGGCCTCCTCTTGCCGTATCCCCTCCCCGGCCCGCAGCCCTCCGAGGCAGGTGCGTGGAGGAGGAGGACCAAGGCGCACAGAGAGGCTGGGAGAAGTAACAGGGAGATCCGCATCGCCCCTGCGTGGGGTGGGGGAGGGAGGGAGGACTCTCCCGTGGGGAGAGAGAGATGTCTTCAGTGCCTCCCAGGTTCAGTCTCCATTGTCCGGGACAGTTGCAGCAGCACGTCCGGAAGGTTCAGGTCAAGTTCCCCGTCTCCACACTGCACCATGAGGGGAGCAGAAAGTTGGGAACTTCTGCAAATCTGAGCTGACAAGCCTCCCCTGCCTCTCCAGAGTCAACAGTCCGTGTGCGGGGCTGTAAAGTCCGCGGATTTAAACAAACAGGTTCAAAGTCGATTTGGTGGGTGTGAGAGTCAGAGAGAGAGAGAGCGAAAGAGAGAGAGAAAAAGAGAGAGCGGTTACTGATATCCAACTTGGAAGTGTTGTGGTTTCTCTGCCTCTCTTTCGTGTGCACGAGGAGAACTGTCACATCAGCCACTTTCCTTCCGCAGCCTGCTGGATGCCCTCTCCGGACTGCGTCCTCTCCACATGCAACAAGCTGCAGCTTGATGAATTCAAGGGGATTGAGTGATCCAAAACGATCTCTTGCCACTTCAGACCGCACCCTGCCAGTCCTGCCCTCCTCCTTCTCCTCCTCCTTACTCCCTTACTTCTTCTGTCCCTGCGCTCTGCCACCCTCCCCGTCCCTCTCCTGGGCACAGAGCGCACGGAGAGTGCGGTCAACATGTTGGTGGCTGCAAAGGCGCCACAAAGGGGGTGTCCATGGGGGACACCGGTGCCCCAGTTAAATTTACTGGTCCCCCCACTGATACCTCGTCCCTTTGGATAGACAGTCCTACATACATAATTAGGTCACATGATCCAAGCGTAAAACTAGACTTCCAGGAAGGAAAATAAATCCCATCAAGTTAAGCTGGTTCTATTTTTTTTTTATTTCTGAGGTCAAAGTTTCACTCTCATTTGAGTTTATTATCACCACTAAGAAAGACGTAAAAGCCTATATTTATGTGCATTTGTCTGTCTGTTAGCAAAATACATTATCAACTAGATGGATTATATTGAAACTCCAAGAAAGACATAATTGGATGTACCCGTATATTAACTATGGACACACCAATACCACTTAATTTTTAGTAAATACTTATATTTATGGTGAACATCAAGATGACTTAAAGTAGTATAGGTATTGTGGTACTGGGCTATTTTAAGGAGTATGTGTCAAAGCATGTGGTGTTGGAACCAATACCCCATACTGGTATAAATATTTGTGTATCTCTATCTCAAAGTCTTCACCTTACGTCCGAATGCTCTTTGTGGACTTCACATCCGCCTTAAACACCATGATCCCACAAATCCTGATGGACAAACTATCCACACTAGGACTAAGCCCCTCCATTTACAACTGGGTACTAGACTTCTTAACAAACCGACCACAGTTAGTGAGGATCCACAACTTCTCCTCCACCATAACCCTCAGCACTGGCTCTCCTCAGGGATGTGTGTTGAGCCCACTCCTGTTTACTCTGCTCACATATGATTGTGCAGCTACCCATCCAGGCTGTCACATTGTAAAGTTTGCAGATGATACAGTGGTGGTGGGATGCATCACAAACAATGATGAGTCCAGCTACAGGCAAGAGGTGGAACACCTGGAGAGCTGGTGCAAAGAGAATAACCTTCACATCAATGTGAAGAAGACAAAGGAGATGATTGTGGACTTCAGAAGGAACAAAAACATCTACACCCCCCTGAAAATAAGAGGATCTGCGGTGGAAGTGGTCTCCAGCTACTTGGGTGTACACATGAATGACAACCTCAGCTGGAGCAACAACACCACCAGCCTGATCAAGAAAGCTCATCAGAGACTCTACTTCCTCAGATGGCTGAGGCAAGCTGGTCTGGGAAGCTCAGTCCTCACCTCCTTCTACAGGTGTGCAGTGGAGAGCATCATGTGCTCCAACATAAACGTGTGGCATGGAGGCTGCACAGCTGCAGAAAGAAAAGCTCTGCAGAGAGTGGTGAAGGTTGCACAGAAGTCTGTTGGAGTCAGTCTCTCCACCATCAAAGACATTTACACCTCTAGATGCCGGAAGAGGGCCACCTGCATCATGAAGGACCTCACTCACCCAGCACACACACTTTTTGCCCGACTCCCCTCAGGAAGGGGTTGAGGAGCATTAAGTGTAGAACCACTAGACTGAGGATCAGCTTCTACCCTGAGGCTGTTAGACTCATGAATCTCGAACTAGAATAATCACTGTGAAAAAAATCACATCATGTTGCTGCTGATCTGTTTCATGTTGATGTGTTCATGCGTGCTCATCTGCTCACACAGACTCATGTTCATGTTTGTGCTGATGTTCAATGTTTTTATGTTATGAGTGCTTAGTGAATATTTAGTTGATGTTTTTCTCTGTTCATATCTTAGATGTTATTACTGTTTTTCTTATACATTTTATTGTTGGATGTAACTGGGACCCTGTGCACATAATTTCGCTCCACTACATGTACCACATGAGGTGCGAATGACAGAATCTCTCACTCTGACTCTGACTTTTGAAGTCAGCTTGATTCAACATGGCAGCCACAGCTAATTTACCATAGAAATCAGGAAAAAAAAAGCCATAACTTTGTATAACTTTATCATTTTTACAGATATTGTTGTTGGATGTAACTGAGAACCCGTGTACATAATTTCATTCCACCACATGTACGGCAATAAACGAGAATAACGCGAACGACAATAAAGAATATCTGAATCTGAATATTGAGCTAAGAATTGGTGCGATAGCCAAAAGTCACCCCTAACACACTCTGAGAACTTACAGATCTCTTGAAAACCTTGTTTCAAACATATGTGTTTGTTCAAGGAATGCTAGTTTCAAATATAAATATAAATTTAAGAGTGCAGGTGACATGGAATAAAACGTGCACCTTTAATAAAAGGGGATTCCCTGATTACAGTGTTGCAGTATTTTTCAGGTAACCTATGACAGCAGTGTAATAAAAAGCATGAAATACAGTTATGGCTTTTAGCTTTCATGTGCCACCTTAAGACTGACAGCAGCCCCCACCTGATCACCCCTTTTAAAACCTTCTGACGTGCCCCTGGTTAGCATGCAGGAGGCCCTTGGCATGCTGATAAACAGTTATGTTGTTCTTCTCATATGTGTTTTGACTGTCAGCAACAGACGAAGCAAATCAATTAAAACTGACCAGTTTCCCAGAATGGGTTGTTCTGCCAGCAGATTCTCTCATTAGTTTCCAGTATTACACGTGATCAGGGGTCACCGCTTGGTTGACTGCTGGAACATCGACTTCTACTAAAGTAATTAACCATCTGACGGTTTAATTCCTAATAGACTTCTTGAACCTAACAACTTTTTTCTTCTACCTAGTTCTCCTGCTGCATGTGAATGACAAACACACAGACCCCCCCCCCCCACACACACACACACACACACTTCGCAACACACACGCACATCAGCAAACTCAGCCCCTCCAAATTAGCTCTTCAAATATTTGCCAGCAGAAAATCAGTGGTCTCACCACTGTTTTTCAGGGCTCCCCTATTTGAATGAATCGAACTGTGCAGACCTGAGGTTTTCCATTTATTATTTGTGAGTGCAAACACCATAAGGTATTTTCTACTGCTTTGCTGCTTTTCATGTATCTCAGTGGAACAGAGGAAGGCAAAGAGAAGGATTCCCGAACAGTAAACAGCCATCTATAGCCGTGTTTACTCTCCGGCTAAAATAGAAAGTCTACGGGCACTTGTGTAAATTTATTGAATCTTTCCTGGTATGAAACATACAAACAAGTCACAAGGAATCACATTTTGTCACAGAGAAGTTAAAGCTGAGGTAAAGAGGCTTTGATAGAGTTTTACTGCGTTGTGGACAAGGAACTGTTCTTTGCTTCTTTAGTATAAAAACATAACATTTGGGAAAGTGTCACAGAAGTCCTGCTTAATGGTCACTTTTATGTTGTTCCACAGACAACGTTACGGAAGATATGAAGAGATAGTTCGACTTGTTTAACCCTAGAATTGAAGTCAGTCATTTGATTTGTAGCAATTTAAAACCTATCTTAATTGATCACTGATAGACATCCACAACTTCTGTTTAAATGTTATAGAATCTGCATATCATTGTCTTCAAAGTTCAGTAATTGTATATACCAGATTGTCTTTGAATTAGATTGTCAAAATAAAGCTTCTCTGAAAAAGATAATACTGTGATTGTTTTAGAACAATTTCCATGCTTTATTTGGAAATATTCTCTAATTTGTCTCACCATATACGTCCCTAAAACAGTAACTACTAGTCCAGATTATAAATAAAACAGAAAGTTAACAAATGAAAAATAAAAATGCAACTTTTATAGTTTATTTTTAGTATTCTGGTCAACTTAATGTTAAATTCTAGACATGCAGACTGAATGGAGTTCTCCACCAGTGCCTTATTTTCTAAACTTTAGCAATCAACATTTACACAGAAATGTGTGTGCCTGTGATGCATTTTCCCAATATGTTTTATCAGTATAGGTTTGTGCAATCTTGCTGCATTTTAAATGAAAGTTGCTATGTCAACGTAACTTCATTTTGACTCTTGCGTTTGCAGACGGGTTAACATCGACTCTGAAAATACAGGGCAAGGTTTGAGCTTTTCGCTTTGAGGTTCTGACTTTTATCATTTCCTTTTTGGGGGCATATTTCTTTCAATTCAATTTATTTCAGTTTATTTATATAGTGCCAAGTCACAACAAAAGTCATCTCAGGGCACTGAATAGAAACATTCATATACCGTATTTTCCGGCGTATAAGTCGTTCCAGAGTAGAAGTCGCATCAGTCAAAAAAAGCATCATGAAGAGAAAAAAAAAAACATAAAAGTCGCTTCGGCGTATAAGTCGCATTTATTATGCGTCACCGCTGACCCGTCTCGTTTATTATGCATTTATTTAATGGTCAAAACAGTTTAATTTCACCTGCGTGGGACCATCCATCCATCCATCGTGGCCGGAGCCGCTAGCTCTCCAGTGTTCCTCCATCTGC